ATTACAAGGCAAAATCAAATACTGGTAATCATAAACATTGTTTTCAGCGTGATTTACAAATATGTCCGCTCATCTTTACTGTTCTTTATTCTTTATTCATTTGGAAATGTATGTTCTCTCTCTCTCTCTCTCACTCACTCACACACACACGCACGCACGCACGCACACTCTCACACACACACACACGCACACACAGGCACACACACGCACACACACAGGGCTAAAGTGGTACCCTTCAGACACATTAGACAGAGGGAGGGTGGGGCGCCAGTAAAGATTTCTTAATGGGCTCTGCCGTCCTCTGGTCCATCTGCCCTGGTGATAAACACAGCTACTCCACATTGGCCTGATACGCATCAGAGCTTTCATCGCTGATTTTGTCTTTATTTACCAACAAACCATTCATTTGATCACTTTTCCCGGAGCTTGGAGATCTACAGAGTGAGGACTTATCATTTGGACTTCATCAACAGCAGTTTTTATAACAGTATGGGAGATGGACATTATGGGAACACATAAGTAAGATTCACTGAGCTTTTCCCTGTCATAATAGGACCTCTGTGACTGTGGAGTCAATTATTTGGATGTCTGGTCAGTGTCAGAGCGCATGGGGAGCGCACTCTGCGGGGCTGCTTGTACGTGAGTGACACTACCCAGCCGGTCCCAGCCTTTACAGTAACCTCAGAAACAGTTACGGTCCCGGAGGAGGATGCCTTCCTTGCACCACGGAGCAATCTTCATAGGAGCCTTCCTCATTGTGACCGGGGGCTCCACAGCCTTCCTGACCTCGTCCCAGAGCCGCCTGCAGGCTTTCTCCCTGTGCTGCGTGGTGCTTGGGGTGGTCATGCTCATCCTGGGGCTGTTCTGGGCTATGAACAGCAAAAGTGCCGCAAACTACAACCAGCGGGAGTTCGATCCAGAGTGTCCACATTATCCATACAACGACTACCCCAACTTCGGCAGCCATGCCCTCTTCACACCGCCAGGGAGCCGCTTCCCAGAGTCCCAGTCAGTGTTTCTGCCCAGGTGGGTGAGGGAAAAATTACAGTTTAGATTTATTTCTGTTTTGCTCTGGTCAGTCTGTATTTGTAGGTATGGCCAGTTTGATCCTGAAGCCAGAAAATGAGACTTGATTTAGGTGTATTACATGTCAGTTCATAGAAAACTAGTTTAGTTAACCCAAAGAATAGATTTTAGAAACACTGTGACTGTCCGCTTTGCCATATTGTCTGATTCAGTCTTCCTGTAGTACTGTGCACTGTCAATGGTTGGCTCTATATTTGATGACATCATGGGTTCAGTAATTAGTTACAGGGGCCTTCAGAGACAAAGCTGTTCATTTTGTTGCACCTTTTCAAGAAAATGCCCACTTTAACTTTCTTTCTCATACATTTTTCAAGAATATATGATCCTTCAAACTTGAGTGACCAAAATCTATCCTCCTGCAGGCTGAGCCCTGGATGGCACAGTGCTGGATTGATTGTATCCCATTTAACGCTGCCCACTGGCAGGACACGCAACTATCTAAATATAATTACTACAAAATAGAAAGACAAATTTTAGGAATTACACTTATTTGCTTTCTGAGAGAGAAAGTATAGATGTCTCTATGCTAAATATGAAACTACTGCTAGCAGTTTGTTTAGCTTAGCTTAAAGACTTGAGACAAGGGGAAACAAACTAGCCCGGCTCAGAAAATGTCAAAACAACAATTATGGGGGTTATGTATACGACTATTTCTTGTTTGGGAACAGAAAACCCCACAAGATGGTTAATTGTTGTTTTTTTGTATGGATTAAAGATACAAGATATAACATATTGATTAGGAAGCTTTAGAAGTGCTGGTAAATTTTATTACCTTTGGACGGAGCCAGGTTAATTTCCCCATGTTTCCAGTCTTTATGCTAAGCTAAATTAGCAGGCTTCTAGCTGTAGCTTCATATTTACCTCACAGAGCAGTGGATTCAGGATTTCATTTTAAACAAAACAGGTGATTAGGTCCTGCTAGCAAAACCTATGGAAAGAAACCCTGTGTATACATGGCTCATGACACCAGACCATGGCTTTGCATCATCCTGCACAACCAAGATGTCCATTTTACTTACAGAACATGACTCCATCTGCTATCTAGCATCTAATCTCTACAACCGCTGACACTATACTGAACAAATCAATCTGTGTTTGCTCTGGCCTCATACAGTGTTGTCCCATGATTTTTGACTTCCATTGTTTTCTTGAGCACAGGACAATGGAGCGCCACAGGCAAGTTGCTCGTGGTGAGGAATTCGACTACCCTCCAATGGACCCTGGGGGTTTTAGTCCATCGCCTCACCCTCCTCCGTGGCTGGAACCTCCGCCTCCCTATGAGGTTGCCATCAAGACCACGTGCAGCTCTACACACCTGCGGCGTGCTTACTCAGACACACACCTGGCATCAGAGCCCCTGTTTGGACAGTCAAGAGAGATCAGTTTTGAGGTGTGACGGTGGACGATGGGGACCTCATCAGACCAAAAAATAAATAGGCACGAGACTGGGGCTTTCACTCAGACTCACTTTATCCAACAATTGAAGCATGCTTCTTTCTGCTGATGACCAGTGCTAGTCCTAGCATGCATTTCCTCTGAGTTTTCTGTAACTGCAAAGAAGGTGTAAATGCATATCTAAATATATAGAGAAATTAAAGGTGGATTACACCAAATTCCGCCTTATCAGACCAACATAAAGCACCAAGACACTTTATGTCTTTATAGAGAGTGTGGCTGCTACGAGCCACCATTTTACTGTATCTTGAGTGATGTTTTGAAGTGATGTGATAATATTCTTTAATAACCGACAGGTACTCAGTTGGATTGAGATCAGGCTGGTAGGGGTTCAAGGAATAGTTCGCCATTTGGGGAAATTTACTTATTTGCTTTCTTGCTGACAGTTTGTTGAAAATATTGATACCACTCTCATGTCGCTCTTGAAGCTACATCCAGGAGATGGTTTGGTTAGCTTAGCTTAGTTCAGCATGAAGACTGGAAACTGCTGGTCTGGCTACGTCTAAAAGTAACAAAGTCAACCTACTCTTTCCTCTAAAGCTCATTAATTCAAGTTACACCACGTTTGTTTAATCTGTTCAAAAATTGTGGTTTTGCAAGGACTATTTTTAGGCAATTTACTATGACTTCCACTCTTTATGCTAAGCTAACACAGATTCATGCATATTTTATAATCTGGTGAAAAATGTAACTGCAGTCTTGTTTCAAATAACCTTTATCTATTGCTTCTAACTATTATATTAAGCTGGTGCTCCTAACATTGGTAATGGCAGTCTGTCACCTGGAGCCTGAAACAGGCAGCGGTTAAGAGCACGTTAACCTGCCACATGCAGATTAGTCTAAGGGCATCAGTTGCCATGGTAACAGAAGCACACAGGAAATCCAGGATTTCCTTTAATGTCAATTTAACAAATCTAGATAACTGGATAATCCACCTTTCTGGGGTTCCCCTGGTGAGAGCAGAGGACAGTTTTTCTTAGTTTTCTCTTCTTTCAAACAATGCAGCGTTCCTTTTCTCTATGTGGATGTCTGAACAAATGTTTTCTCCATTAGGATTAACATGCTTTGTCACAGGATGGATATTATAATTCACCTTAGGAAACTAGCGCTCAGGCCTGTAGACGTCTTTCAGTTTGTGTGCCACACATGTACTCATCAGCTTGTTGAAAGCAGGGGGGAACGATGACTCATCTGACCATATGAGTTTTTCCACTGCTTTCTAGATCGCTGCAGCTCACTGGCAACACTGCCTGAGCTTTAAGTATCACAACCTGACCTACTGTAACTAAGCCCTTTATTTTAAAGGATCATATCAGTGTTTTTGCATATTTTAAAAATCATGTTACAGTACATTCTTTTTTGTAATGTTTTTATATATTTTTTCTTACTTCCAGACATTCATTAATATTAATATATTTCAATGCAGTGTGCAAATCAACTTGCAGAGACCTTAAACATGTTTTGGGGAAGTTAATTAATCTCAGTAAAACTGTTTCTAAAACTTCTTTAGACATTCAGGTGCTGGTGAGAATGTACAACAAATGTAAAAAGTCAAACATGAAGTTCAAGAAAAAAGTGCTGTTTGGCACCCATCTCTCAGTTGTAGAAATCTTGCATATTGGAGCTCCCACCAGGACATGACAGCACCAACAGGGGAGGATTTTTTTGTTCAGTTTTTTCTTTTTTTCTTTTTTCCAGTGGAAACAAAAAAAGGAACACTCCTTCGACAAAAATGTGCACCAAATGAAAGAAATGTAATTTATAACAAATCTTTGTTAATCACAAATAATTAAAGAAATCAAGATGATTTGATAATCCCTTTTACCTAACCATACAATGATGAAATTAATCAAATTTGTAATGCACAAAAATCCAAGTATGTAATTAATTGTAAATAAAAAAAATGTAAAAATATGCAAAAACACAAGAATGATCCTTTATAATGATCCATTATTTTATTTTTTTTAAATAGCGGTCTTGATCAACTGCTGTTTGTCAAAAAGGAATACAATGATGGATCATAAGTAGTATTGTCAGCCTTCATTTGGGGGCTACTGTATACTGAATTATTTGTGTTGGAGTCTAACAGCCTTCATGACCTCTAAAATAAGATGCTGCACTGAACTGATGACCACAAATACACTGCTGTGATCTTTGACAGCACAAGGACGACTGATTTCAATTTCTCTGATGATGCATATACACACACACACACACGAGAGCTGATATGAATCACAGGATTACAGATGATCCACCGTGTTGTTCAGGACTGTTTCTTTTATACCTCTATGCATGCTTTACTCTTGGAAAAGGCAACTTTTCAAAACAATGTTTTTATTGTATTCAACTTTATTTAATAAATCTGTGATTAATGACACAAGATCTGACTCATTAACCAACAAGGATTATTGGAAACCTGCAGCAGGTGAATATCAAGTCTTCATCTTCACACTACGCAGCATGATCTGAGGATTTGATCTATTGCTACAATGTTAGGATGTAATATGTAAAATGGGCTTGGGCTAAATTTGGGGGAAAT